TTTTCTACACGAGTCAAATTCTAAATTATTATTTTTTTTTATCAATTTTAAGTCGGAAAATGGAATAAAATTATTCATTTCAATTTCAAACGTAAATTGTAGTCTATTATGATATGAATTAAACGTCCCGACAACTAAATCAATTTTATCATTTCGAACGCACATCAAAGTATCATCAACATATCTATAGTAGAAAACCGGATTGGAATGATAATGGTTTTCTGAATAGATATTGGCATAGTAATGATTTGACTCAAACCGACATATCTACAGCAAAATGCTATTGATTAACAAAAATACATAAAGTAAATGTGCCACTACGATCAATAATTTTATCAATTAATAGCTCTACTCATAAATTAGAAAAATTCTTATATAATGCTCTTAAAACAGTTATAAATAAATTTACCTCTCAGATTTTAAACAGTGGACAGTTTAAACAGAAACTGAAAGATTTTTTTATTCGAAACGATCACGTTTTAATATCATTAGATGTAAGGTCCTTATTCAAGAACATATCTTGTGATTTAGCCTTGAAGGAATTGAACAAACGTAATGCACAAATTAAAAATTGTGAGATTCCCATGAAAGAGATTCGGAGAGCTATAAAATTTTTTTTAATAACACATATTTTGTGTTCAACAAAATTTATTATAAACAAATATTTGGAAGCCCTATGGGTTCCCCCACCTCTCCGTTATTGGCTGATATTATAATAGAAGACTTACAAGGGAACCACCCCAACCCGACCTCACCGATTTAAATGATTTTGGTATATGTTGTAATACTTGAAAAAAAATTAGATACGTGTTTTTTTATCGGCACATAAGGGCTTTTAAGGGGTGAAATCCACCCTGAAAATCAACCCCTAAAATCAGTTTTTTTAATATTTCTCAGCATCAAATGAATATTTTTCAGTAAACTCAACGTTAAAAAATTTCTTATAAAAAGGAGCTTTTAAGAACATAACATTTATACCGAAGGGTTGCAACCCCTTTTTAATAGGGGTAAATACACTATTTTTTGTACTGTTTTACGACATGTAATATATGCAGATTTAAAAACTGCACTGATAATTTAAAAATACCAAAATTAAAATGATGTGTTTCCGGATTTAAAAAAAATTATATTTAAGGGATGTTTTACCCCCTAGAAAACACCCCCGTCAAACTATCAGCAGGTTAATCCACCTAACCCTGGGATAAACAAGTTTAGAAAATGTGCATTTGGAAGGTTGGGGTTTCCCATATTAGAGAAACACTGCCTGAACGTGTTGTGGAATAAATATCAAATTAATCCTGTTTTCTACTATAGATATGTTGATGATACTTTGATGTGCGCTCCGAAAGGTAAAATTGATTGATTATCGAGACGTTTAATTCTTATCATAATAGACTACAATTTACGTTTGAAATTGAAATGAATAATTTTATTCCGTTTCTTGACTTAAAATTTATCAGAAATAATAATAAATTAGGATTTGACTCGTCTAGAAGAACAACACAACTGACAGAATTCTAAATTTTAACTCAGAACATACAATTCAAAAAAAGTTAATATAGTTTGTAACGGAGGAGTTTATCTGAAAAAATGTGAAATTTATTGAAGCACAAACTCCCACGATGCAGAGCTAACCGCCGCTCCGTTAAACACGTATAGTTGTACGTGTATTCGCCTTTATGTCTGAGGATTTTGCTTACGTGTCTTCTATCAAACGGAGTTGAACTCACCTTAAGTCACGTGACTTGTGACACTCGATCTATCTTAGGTGTGGGCGACTTTAACCCTAATCCGCTTAATTCCCTAGATGTAATCGGATTAAAACCTAAGCCTTTACAAATCGCTTAAGCTAATGGGAAAATTAATTGACGTAATCGGCGAATGAATGAACTTTAATTAGTAAAAATAACTACAGTTCTTTATGGGCCGAAAAACTAATGCACGCGAACAGGATTTTACAATGAAATATTATTCGGTGAGAGAGGGAGAGAGAGAAGATTCGAAATTTACCGCGAGCTAACGCTCGGCGCGAAAACAAAAAATCGCTATCACGATTGACAAAATACCGAATGTATTTTGTCACGCAATAATAACGGGAGGTGCACCTACCCTGCGGTGCAATTACGGTGTTCAGCCGTAATTGTTGATAAGATAAATCAACTGCCACTGCTTCTCCTATTTATCAGCTGCGTTGCCTCACTCTACCTCCAATCAGCTATGATGTGGCTTCTGCACTGCTGCTACTTGCTGCTGCAATAAAGTCTTTGCACTCACGCACGTAATATTGTCCCAGAAAAACTTATTATTAGGCGAAACAAAATGCAAAATAAATTTGGCGATATCGACACGTAAACAGCTGAGGCGTAACTGCTTATTCAAATTCTCGCGCGCCCCCTCTCTCTCTTAATTGTTCGTACTAAAGCGCGAGTTATCGAATCGCGAACGGATCGATTAATTGAATCGACTACCGTTGCAAGTTTCAAATTTAGTTGACCGGCTGTTTTGACTTGCTGACAAAAAATTTCGTTCACGCAATTTAAAAATAGTTACTAATATCCTGAAAATGAATAATTATTCATCTGAATTTATCTAAAAAAAAAAACATACACAAACGGATTAACAAATAGAAAAAAGGGAAGATTAATTTTAAAAAATTAATAAATCAAAATCTACCTAAAGTCGCTATTCCCGATAATGACAACATCTTTAAAAAATGTTCTGTGTTAAAAAACATGAAATTACTCCAATATCTTTATTACAAAAACCATTACAAGAATTCATTCGTTTAGTAAAAGACAAATCTGATTTATTAGACAAGACTGGTATTGTCTACAGTTTTAACTGCAAATAATGTTCAGCTGTTTACATAGGTGAAAGTAAGCGATCCTGAAAAATTAGATTAAATGAACTAAAAGAACCATTGACTCAGATACAGTTATACATATAGAAGAACTCTTTCACACGAATTTGATTGGTACAAAGCTAAGATATTGGATTATGAAAAGAATTACAAGAAACGCAGAATATTCGAAATGTTGCACACATCGGCTTACATAAAACCACTCTAAATAGAAAAGAGGATATACAATATCTTAGTCATATTTATAAGCCTTTATTAAGATCGATGAGAAAGTGATGATAGATAATGAATATATATATATGTGTGTGTGTGTGTGTGTTGAAATACTTTATTTCTTACTGTATTGTAACGTGACTGGCTATGAGCTATTCGTTTTAGTCTATAATAATTTGACTACGAGAGAAATCAGGTACACATATATACATATAATTATATGCCTTTAACATTACATTTGCTACTTTATTGTTAATAATTTGTTGTTTTTTTGTTAATAAAGCTTGAAGAGGTCAGCAAATGTGCTGACGAAGCGTTGCTGAATAGATTTAAAATTAAGTGAAGTTCCATCTCTCACTATTTCCCTTTTTCCCATTATTACAAAATTTATCATTTAAGATAACTATGAAGGAATCAAGGTAGTATGTTACGTAACAAATAAAAACTGTAAGTAGAGAATAAATTAGACAAAAAATGCTAAACGAAATAGGACATGAAAAACAAGATACAGATGGTCAAAAAATGGAAACAACTACTTTCGAAAATTATGATGAATTACATGCATTAAAACTAAAAAATAACTTATTAAAAGAACTTTACGAAGAAACGGCAAGAATATTATAAATTTATGTGATAATGTGATTTATAAGTTTGTTATTGTATAAGCGACATATTGATGATGGTCTTTTGATTGTAAAGAAGGATAATGAGGATAAATTGTAAGTTTTTAATATCTTTAATGCCTTTAATACTTTTCATACCTATCTCGAATCCAAAATATTCTGAATCCCCGTCAAACTGGATTTCTTTGTGGCTATAATGCTTAGACAGTTCTAGTAGTACCGACTGATAATATCAGGCGTGCCATCGATAATAGAAAGCTTACCATGTTAATTTTGCTCGATTTTTCAAAGCGTTTAGCTCCATTCCGTCTAATATTTTGACATGCAAACTCTGCTGTCTAAATATCTTAATCACTACTTATAATTGCATTGTACTTACTATGATCCATAATACTATTGAAAATACTCAACTCGAAATCAGTGAAGTTGTTCAGTGGGCTTCATAAAATGGGTTGGACTTGATTAGATTAAGAACAAAGATAGTATTGATTGTAATAAACTGTGTATTGGCAGAATGTTTCAAACATTATACATTATTTAACAAATTTTTAAACATAATCCTTCTAGCTCTCTCTCTCTCTCTTTCTCTCTCTATCTCTCTCATACCCAGCCCCTTGCATCGGTCTGGAATCGATCGTTTACTATAACTGGAGCTGGACTTATTAATACTTTTCCAGAAACTAATTTCGATTTTAATCGCTTTGATAAATTTTAGTTGTAGTTGAGAGCTATGACCTTTACAAGCAGGCAAACTAAGGGTCATTTTCGAAAATTTCACCCATGAAATGAGTCTTCTACCGGTAAAAAAAGAATTGCTGGTAAAGAACTCATTTTTACTTTACATGAAAGCTCGTAAGATCGAATAATTTTTGTAATTTATGATTAAATAACAATTTTTAATATTGTAATTTATGTTTGCGACTATTTTTCGACAATCCCTTCGCTAACATATACTTGTTGTATAATACGTTAATGTCGATGGCTGTTAATAATAATAATATATCATCGGTGTGTCCATTCCCTTAAAGTAAGTTAATGAATATTTATAATAATTGACGGAAGATGACCAAGCGTAGTGTATTACAGTTTCTGTCCATGTCAGTAAATATACTGTCAAGTTAAATAAAAGCCATTCACGACTTTTATTATTGGAAAGATGAAAATTTTTAATCGAATGAAAATATATATTTTTTGAAAATATGAATTTTTTTCTTTGAATATAAAGTTCACAACAGAATTTTTGATTCACTTGATGAACATTGACACCATACTTTTTTAAACGAATATTTGAATGTATGTTTCAGACTATGGCTGCTACGAAACGAAATGCTGGTTTATCATCAGTCGCACGACCCACTCTCAACGACGAGGAACTTGTAAGTAAAAATTTTAATTTAACTCACGTGCTTGAACAATATATTCTATATTACTTTTCTCATCTTACTTATCAATAAATGTTTTCTGGCAGGGCCGTCTATTTATGCTTATTGATAAAATACAGTTGCGTGTAAGAATGTTCGGCTAAAGATAATTTTATGTTTTCATAATGTATGAAGAATAAAACGTGAAAAAACAAATATACCTTCGTCGAGGACTTTTATCATAATATCAATCTATGTAAATTAACCAATCATTTTAACTATTAACAAAATGTTAATCCGAAAATAACAATTTTTCCTCTTCCATAACTATCCGGCCAACTACGAATTTGACACTTATATATAGAAAAAATATAGTAATATGAAAAAGAAACAGCTGAACATAGTATTAAATCTAACATAGTCATTATGACCTCGTAGTCATGCCCTTATATCCTATCACGGCAGCACAATGGTGAGGCATCAAATCAATAAGTTACATAATTTTATCATGAGAGCCATTTTTTCTCTGTTCATGAGCATTTTCCCACAAAGTAGTTTTAATAGCATAATTTTGAATCTCTAACCATCATTTCATCGACATAAATTTTTAATATGATTTAAGTCCAGAGACTGATTTGACCAGTTTAAAACTCGAATTTTGTTCTTGATAAAGACTTGATAAAGAAAGATAAATGCTGAAGGATCTGTGATCGATGTTTGGGATCATTATTCTGCTAGAATATTCATACTTTTAACATGTTATGATAACCAGAAGGTTGCATTTGCTGCAATATAATATTCTTGTATATGACAGAGTCCATAAGGATTTTTATTTTAAATATTGGATCTATACCTTTCTAAGAAAATGCACTCCATAGCATAATACTACCTCCAGTGTTACATAGTCGGTATTTGATATCGGCAATCATATTTACTACCCTTTAATAGCCGTACATGCCTTCTGCCATAATTTCTAAAAAAATTAATTTTCGTCTCATCCGATAATCAGTATTTGATCTTTGAGAAGAGTAGATGTGATGTCTCTACGCTCTCCTCGAAAAGTATTAGTAAGTGAAGTGACAGGTAATTCAAATTTACTGTTAAACAACACAATACAAAACAAGTAACTGCTTAAATGATTTCTCACTCAGGGGATACAAAATCTAATCCTACGCGAAATAACGTCGAAGAGTGGAAATCCGTAAGAAATAAAAGATAACGAAGTAGTCCAGTAGATCAACTACAAAACGAGAAACAAGTAAATTCAGTTATCAGATTACTGGCTAAGTCAATCTATAAACAAATATGAGAAAAAAATACACAATTTTATACATATCAGCACAAAGAAGATAAGGAATTTAGAGTAATATTGAGAAAGATGCAATCTTTAGTTGATATTGAAAAGTTAAAAACTATTATAGAGAAACATGGACATACAGAATTTTTTTTATTTATTTCAAAATTTATTTACAATCTGTCTTCATTTATAAACACAATAGGTAAATTTTATTGCTATACTAAAATCTTTTCATGAATTCAGCACAGTATTCCAGTGAGCATTCTATGATGGTCTTGAAATTTGGAAGTACTTATGTGGTTGTTATCTTGAGTTTTGATTATGCTTTCATTATTTTATGTTTCTTGAGTTTCATGTTTGTAATTGATTTCAAGAGAAATTTGCTAATAAGTTTGCTTAAGTGGTATTGTAGTCTTATGTTGTATTTTACGTAAAAGTTTTTAATTTCGTCTTTTACTGTTGCAATCAGTAAATTATTTCGGATAATGTTGTTTGAAATGAACTACAGTGCGTGTACTATGTTACATAAAAAAACTAAAGTAGTAAAGCGTGGAAATTATGACGGGAATCCTACTGGAAGTTATAAATGATGCCCAGTCCGTAAACAACTTCAACAAAAATTATATTCCAGAGTAAGAGAAAAAACACGAAGTTAAAACAATAGTCATCTCTTATTCAATTTAAATATAAATATAAACAAAGTCAGGCCAAATAAAATATATGTCCAAGCAAAGACAAAATAAAACAAACAGAGTAAAACAGAAGAATAAAATCAATTAGATTGTGGAGCTAAGTATTTAAAGTATGTTAAACATGACAACGAACAAATAAACTTGAACATATGATGGAACAGTTAATGTGAAGAATGGACAATATGATATATATAAACATAATAACAGTATTAGTAAATATAATTCCGGAATATATAGTTTGAATATCGCTATCTGTAACGCAAACGGTTTTATGCAGAGACACTTCGAATTAGGAATATTTTTAACCAATGAAAATATGGGCATAATGTTAATATCAGAAGCATACTTTACATATGAAAACTATCTTAATATACCAAACTACACTGCATATAAAACCAATCACCCGCTTAATAAAACACAAGCGGGTACTGCAATTATAATAAAAACAAAATTATTCCACGTTTCCACACATAGTACTAAAGTAGTATACGTAGCAATGTATGTTCCAGCACACCTGCGGAGGGGAGGTCCATAACCCTTTGGTCCCCCCCCTGGCTTAACCCTTTCATGTTAATAATAATTGGGTTATTGTTAACAATTATTATTAACAATATTCGTGGGGGTCCCTGGTTTAACCCTTTGGTTCCCTGGCCTAACCCTTTCATGTTAATTATTATTTATAATAATTATTATTATTTTAATGTTAATCTTTGATTATAATTTTTTGAGGAAGGTTTCTAGGGCTCCTAGTCTTTAGGAACCCTATACCTAGTGCTTTTTGTCTAATTTAATTAAATATATTTTTAAAAAGTTATAAATATATTATTGACAATTTACTTGCTACATTGAAAATGAATGAAGTCAAAATGAAACGAAGAGTAAATAGCGACGATTAAAAAAAATGAAGAGACAGACCGGAGAATCGAATCGGAGTCCTGTGGGTTGGCAGGCTAGCGCTCTACCACTAGAGCCAATGCCACATGTACCTTAGAGGATGCATATTGTGTATATTAGCTACACGCGCATACATTTGGTATAGGACCCGAGCGTGCGGAGAAGGGGGGAGCGCAAGCTGTCTATAGTTATAATTTGAGGATGCGTGCTCTCTCTCTCTCTCCTATGCTCTAGCTAATCGTATACCACGGTGCGCGGAGGGGAGCGTATACTATCTATAGTCAATGCGTGCTTTCTCCACAAAGGGAACTTCACTTAATACCATAGCTGTTTTCGTGAGAATGCTAGAGACTACGAGTGCAGTCGCTCGACTGACACCTCCTTGAGATGTTCCTCCTAAAGATCTCTGCTAGGAGAGAACCTTATTCCCATCTGTTTGCCCTTTCTTGCAATCGTTATGATTATTTTATTATTTAAATAAGTTCACATTTTATTATCTATTTTTAATTATACATTGAGTAGAGTACATTATGTCTATAATCTTTATGTTCAGTGTCCGACATAGCTATTTTTAAATATTCAGTTGGATTTTTAAATGAATTATAGTCGTCTGTAAATCTTTCGACTGTATCGATCTCTTTTAATTTTGCTTGTTTTTGTCTTTCCATCATCCAATCGTTATCTTTTATGTATTTACCGTAGCACATACTATATTCTCGCGATTTCGACTATGATATATGCATGGGATTTAAATTTAAGACTTAAATCTTCCAATCGCGAACATCTCATTTCTGTTTCGATATCTAAAATGTTTCTGTAATTTTGTACTATTGTATATTATTTGAACCTACTTTTCAAGAATAATTTTTTGGCGCCATTGCTTCTTTTGTAGTCCTTTCACATAAATATTTGTACAATTATGTAAATGATTGCGAATAATACAATTTCAAAAATTATATGGTAAAATACCATTTCTCCATAATATACCTATAAAATTGATTATATTAAATATTTCAAATAAAATCAATGTTAATTAACGATAATAAAAAATAAATACCATGATGATGTAATTCCAACCACTTATTCACACTTTGATATTCAATAGGCGGTTTGAGCCAATGATATGGAGGTTTAAAAAGTAGTACTGTAGGTGAAGTATTAGAACATACTGGTAAATAGGCAAACTCCTTACAAATAAAAATATTATTAGGACTCTGAAAGCCTTGAATATCTAAAATATAGTCCATCTTAGAGTATAAATCCAATTATTCTCTATGATAAGTGAACTGAATCGTATCTCAAAGCAATAATGACTATATTTTTATTCGAAAGATCTATACATAAATCCTTTAATACGAAATTAATAAGTTGGAGGGTGCTACAATCGGTTCACCCCCACTCTTTCGTTTTAGCTTTCCCTTCCATATACTGCCTACAGCGCCGTCATAGGCAATGCCTTTGTAGGCAGTGCCCTCAGTTTGCTGGCAGCACCCTCACTTAACCTTTATAAGCCGCTTCGACCTAGCAAAAGAACGCAGTCTTTCGAGACAGCCTGCGAGCTAAGCTTGCCTTACCTTACTCCATTTGCAAGTAGTTCCTCAGTAGTTAGTTGAATCCTTATTGATTTGTTAAACAAATCAATATTAATTACCAACTGAGAACAAGTTCATTTTAGAGCTGTTCACTAGCTTTTCCATCCTTACATCATAATAATCCTTTATACAACTATAGAAAACTATAACAAGTGACTCTACAAAACAATAAAAACCAGATAACTAACAACATGACTTCTATCGCCTATTTTGAAGAAACAATGTAACGGCCCGGAAAATAATTAAATTATTCTCGCGGCCTGTTAACAAATTTATCTTCGCTGCTCGGTGCGAGGCTTACCGCCGCCCCGATCAGGTGGGTGCTTCCTGGTGTTCCGCCGCGTACGGGCGGACACGTGGCTGCCCTGAAAAGGGATCGCGAAAGCGCGGCTAAGCACGAGAGCGTGTGTGGATTTTAACCACGGGCGTGGGAAGGGACAAAGGTGCCTTCCTGGGTACGCCCAACACAATGGCAACACTTGAGTAAGTCAAACCGCACTTTATTCACTCAATCAGATTTTCCTTTTTACACAATACCGC